TAAAAGGGACTAGCTAGGTCAAATGGAATTTCTAGTTTTGTTTTTTTCAGAAGTCTTTACTTATTTATTTGGCATCGGGGATCAAACCAGGACCTTGTGGCAATGAGGCAGGTGCAGTGCCTCTGAGCCAAATCCTTGGCCCAAAGTCTTCATACTTATTTCTGTATTGGTTAATATCCTCTCTTACTCATTGAGGTATAGCTTATTTTTCATAGAATTCACTCATCATATGCAAAGCATTTTAGTCTTTATGGAATTGTGAGTCATCAATTCAAAAGGTTTTCTTGAGTCCACTGAGAATCATTTCTCCTACTCTCAGACCCAGGCAATCATAGACCAACTTTCTGTCTTTGTAATTTTGCCTTTTTTTGACTTTTTGAAATAGGGTCTCACTATGTAGTTCAGACTGGCCTTGAACTCACTATGTAGCATAGGCTGGCCTTGAACTCAGCAATTCTCCTGCCTCAGCCTCCTAAGTGCTGAGATTACAAATTTGTGCCACCAAGCCTGGCTAATTTTGCCCTTTTTGAAATTTCATATAAAAAAATACAGTCTGTAGTTTACAACAGTTTTTTTTTTTAATTTGGCATGCTGGCTCCCCAAACTTGGTGTGATTTTTTCCATGTTGTAGCATGTATCAAATTTCCTACCTTTTCATGGCTAAAGAGTATACCATAATATGAATATGTCACATTTTGCTTCAGCTTTCACTCTATGAATATTCATAAGCAAGTTTTTTTGTGGATATGTTTACATTTCCCTTAGATAAATTTCTAAGAGTTTAGTGTAGAATATAAAAGCTTTTCCTCTATCCTCTTAGATTCAATGACTAGTAGGCCCAGGAATTGGCAACAGGCAGATCAACAGGAGAAAAGCCACTCAAATTCATTTTTAATTTTCTGTGCACGGAGACATCATAGAAAGAAGTGAATACCCAAGGCAGCAGTGAGATTTGAAAGTTTATATGCTGTCTTACAAGGGTAAGAGAGGAAAATGTCTTTTTTGGAAGAGCAAATGATTTTTAGAAAATATAAATGGGACCTTAGGAGATTAGATGGGAGATGCGCTAGTTTGTGACAATGTCTGGGTGTAGTTCCAGTTTTTAGTTTCTGCTCTTGTGATGAGTAACTCTTCCCTGGTTGATGAGATGCCAAGAAAGAGAACTTGCCATAACTGGGTTGCTTTTATGTTGTTGTGGCTGCTTTTCCATTTGAGGTTCTGTTTAGGCAGGTGACAGAAGTTTGGAGAAAGCTCCTCCTCCCTTTACAGTTTGCAAATGTCTTCAGCTAAAAAAAATAATTCTTGTGCCACAGTATTGTATTTTGAAGTGGCATATTTTGATCTCCTAAAATAATAAATTTACATTTAACTTAAAAAATCTTGCTGTTTTCCAAAATGGCTACAATGTTTTATGTTCAAGAGCAATGGATAAGGGCTCTAGTTTTTCCCTATCTTCCTTCTCATTTGTTAGTATTCACTTTCTATTATGGCCATTCTAGCAAATGTGTAGTGCTTATTGTGACTTTGTTTACTTAATGAGTAATGGTGCTGAGCATTTTTTCCTGTGCTAATTAGAATGTCTTCATATACAAGTCTATGTAAGTCTTTTGACATTTTTAATTGGATTATTCATCTTATTATTGAGTTATAGGATTTCATATATTCTGGATGCAAGTCTTATATAAATTTGCAAACATTTTCTCTTTGTGTGTGGTTTGTCCTTTCAACTTCTTAAAGCTGTCTTTTTAATCTCAAAAGGTTTTCATCTTTTTCCCTTGGTTTTGAGACAGGGTCTTGCTATGTGGTCCAAGCTGTCTTTTAATTTGTTGTATACAAAAGCTGTCCTCAAACTCAAGATCCTTCTGCCTCAGCCTCCTAAGAGATGGGATTACAGCATGCTCCATTATACCTGGTTCAAAAAGTATTAATTTTAATAAAGTTTATTTTAATCAATATTTTTGTGGCTTGTACTTTTGATGTAATGTTTAAAAATTCTGACTAATCCAAGGTTATGAAGATTTCTCTTATTTTTTAGTAAATGTATGGTTTTAACTTTTATATTTAGGTATACCATCTTTTGGGTTAATTTTTTGTATAATCATGCAAAGTAAAGATATAAATCTTGGGGCTAAGGATTCAGTCGATACTCTATGCTGCAGATAGAGTCAAAAAAAAAAAAAGATTTAAATCTCAGTCTGTCTGTTTTTCTCTCTTCTTCCCTTCCTCCTTTTCTCCCTATTTTAAAATTTTTCTTTTATATGCCTATCCAACTGTCTTTGCATAAGGCACTAGTTTTTGAAAAGACCATCCTTTCACTATCGAAGTATATTGGCACATTTGCTGAAAATTAATTGACAATATATGTTAAGGTTTATTTATGGACTCTCAAGTCTATTTCATTGATCTATATGCTTAGATGTATGCCATTAGCCCACATCTTTATTTCTATAGTTCTGAAATCCTGAAGTATAAATTCTCCAACTTTGTAACCATCATAAATCTTTTGGCTATACTAGGTCTTTTGGATTTTTATGTAAATTTTTAGTTCAGTTTGTCCAATTCTACACAAATATCACATACGATTTGTTAAAAACATGTGGAATTTCTGAGATTTTGAGGCAGGGAGTAAACAGGACTTTTAAGTAGATTAAGTCACTTGCCTACGAGCAGACAGCAAACAAGCTAGACAGAGATTTGAACTGAGGCAGTCTGACTCTGTAACCTGGGTGCATAACAGGACTTCGAAGTAGTTGCCTGATAGGAAATAAGCAGGCAGCTGCACTTTGTGGTGATGAGGACAGATAGCAAAAGGTAATTAAAGGATCAAGCTGATGCACTCCCTGAGATAAAGAAGCTGGATACATGGGAAACCTGGATCGGAGTGCATAAATGCAAAATGCCTCCTTTTGTGTGGGCTGCTCTTGTCTGTAGAGTAGCCATCTCTGCAGGCCTCTAGGCTGTCACTGAGTAGCCAACTTTGCTGGTCTCTCGGGCTGCTGTCTGTGGAGCAACCAGCTGTGTTTCTTTCCTGTAATAAACTTATTTTAGCCTTGAAACCGGTCCATTTATGATTTCCATCTTATCTACAGTTAAAAGTTCATGCTAGCCAATGATAATTTTACTGTATTGCAAGTTAACAAGCTTTAGAAAAAAATTGTGGACTTCTGATTAACCTAACATTTCAGACCCTTCTGTCCCGACTTCAACCTACTTTTCTTGTATTACTTCCTACTCATTTTAATTGCTCATTGTTCCTCCAATGTACTTGTTAGTCATTTTGCTGATTTATCCATAGGAATGCCTTTTTTCCTCTTACGTATAAATCCAATTTTTCTCTTTCTGCACCTTCCTCATCTCTTCATTAAGAAGTAATATTTATTCATTAATTTTTCTTTTTGCAATGCTGCAGATAGAGTCAAGAGCTTCATGTGTGCTAGGCAAGTGATGTACCACTGAACTACAACCCCAGCCAAGAAGTAATCTTATCTCTGACTTCTCTGTAGTACATTACTTGTCTTTAAAACCCAACTTGTTTTCCTTTTGTTTGCTGTGAATTTCATTTTTATCAGTAGAATGCGCATATTAATATCCGAATCCCGCTCAATATTCTTTGACAGAGTCTTGATCAACAAATTCAGTCTTTACTAAATAGGAATTTCTTGTACATGTGAGATTTTCCCATTTCTGCCACTAGGTGGCAGTGCACTAACTTTACATTTAACATTTTTGGGAAGTGGCTGGGATGGCACCTAGGTTCTCACACAGTCTGGGCAAGAATTTTACTCCAGAACTACATCCCTAGCCCCAGATCTCAGTTTTAAAAATTAAATAGGATTCTGGATGAGTGCCTTATCATCAGTTAGCCACAAAAGTATTCTACCTCATCCTACCTTATCTGCCTTGAAACAACTTTGACATAGCAAGCTAAAATACAGGGAACCAAAGGAATTTTTTATTCACTGCTTCTATATAAAACTTCTCTATTAATGTATTAACTTGTTTAGTGTGTGCATTGCTATTTTGGGGGATAAACTTTCATTAAGGGTCTAAATCTTAGTTCATGCAGTCAGCTAGCATTTATAAATTACTGTGCCAAGGAATTGTGATGGTTAAATCAAGGGCATTGCTATACGTATAGCTGCTACCAAATTAATATTTGAAAGGTTAATTTTAAGCAAAGGAGAGTGGGAACTTTATTAGATTTTCCTTTCTTTTCTCTTTTGACAACAGTATGAAATGAGCTCCAGGCCTCCTGAAAGTAGGGTAAGGTGGTTTGAATAGAGTCCAGTATGGAACAAAGCTTCCATATTTCACCTGAAATCTTTCACTCTTACGATTCTCCTGTTTCTAAATTTCTGGAACTTGGACTAGAACTTGTGAGTTATGCTAAACCAACTACCTGATTGGCTTGTACAAGATTAGTGACATTTTTGTTATTGTTGTTCTTCAATTTTTAGGTTCTGTTTATTTGTAGGGAAAAAAAGGGTGAGACAAATGAGATTACAACACACATAAACAATATGGTAGGGAGGAACTCTCTTACCCAAATAAATCAATATACTGTGGTGTCTCTTTCAGTTTGTTAGTTTTAAAAGCATGACAACTTAAACATTCCTTTAAAATAATTTCATTTGCTAAGGGCACAAAGTGACAAATGAAAACTCTTATCTTTAGCATATCTAAACGAGCAACTTTGCATCATGGACCTAAAACACTGTGGAGAAAAGAGAACTAGGAAATCTGTTAGGCCTGGAGCTGGTCACATTGGTCCCAACTAACAAATTATTAAGCAAGTTCTCAGGTCTCCCCATCCCATTTCGAAAGATGAGGTGTCAGGGGAGTTGCAAATGAAGAAATCAAAACCTTTTCAATATGAATGTGTTTAAAGGGATACTGGTGGAATTTTTACCAGAATTGTAGCTTCTGTTTTGATACAATTAGGAAATGATTTTTTTTTTTTGGTAGATCTCACTTAACTCTAATTTGCAGTACAGAATTACCTGCTTTGAGCAGAATTTACAGGATAAAACTTTTGATAAATCGATAGGTGAGGTTTTTGTTGTTTTTGCTTGACGATTTTCTTGAAGTTTCTCTGGGATTGTCTGATTGCAAAATTCCTATTAGATCCTTTCTTTAAATTTACACATTGTAACAGATTATTGGCAATTTGCAATTTAGCAAAATGTTTGCCATAATAACAGCTTGCTATAACATGGCATTAACCTTTGTTTTCCTTTAGTCTCTGACGTCTGTGTCCTTTGAGGAGGAAAAGGATGTTCGCTATCCTATAATTGTCCACCTCAACTGCTCATTTCCTTAGTATAAACATTGGTTTGAAAAGCATTTTGGGCATTACATGTGAGTCAAGGGATTTTCTCTCCTGAACTAAGCAGTGATTTAAGGATTTTTCAAAAATTTTTTTTCCACAAAGTTTTCATACTAATTTACTCAGGCCAAATCCTCTTCCTCTCTGGAAAGTCCGTCCTCCTCTTGTCACAACCGGGGAACTCTTACTCATCCTTAAGATTCAGCTCCATAGTAATTTCCTGATGGAGGATTTTTCAACATGTAGTTCTCAGCTCCAACAGCTTCACTGTAAGCAGCTCAGCCTAATGGGATTATCCAGTTTCCTGCGTGTCCTGCTCTCAGGGTATGAGTTTCTAGGGCCGACACGGTGTGACTCTTACTTACTCATCTCTTTACAGCACGATAGGCTCAGCATTGCCGGGGACCAGGGCTCCCTCGGTGTCCACAGGGAGCCGGGGGCAGGAGTTGCAGCGGGTGCTCCATTTCCCGCCAACAGAGCGTTTAAAAACAGACAGCTGCGGACGACGGGGAATGAGGGTGCCCCTCTCGACAGCTGCCCTTTATCAACGCCAGTCGGTCCACGCAGGCTCGCCAGCACAGCAGACGCGATTCTGGTTTGCTCCATGGAGGGAAACACTCTCCTTCAACAAATTTGAGTCCCAGAGATTGTTTTCTAACTCGGGGCTGGATACCCATTTTTTCCTAACGGTGACAAGAAGTCGAGAGGAAAACGTGGGACGGCTTTAAGGGGAACCGCTCGCCGCGGCCCGCAAGCTGACGTATGGGCGGGGGGTCGCAGGCGTCCTTTCCTCAGCCGCACCAATCTCTGAGCGAGCGCCCACCCTGGAGTTACAGCTCCCTCACCAGCCCCGGCACTCGGCGCCCCGCCCACTGTGGACGGAGAGTCGGCGTTGTCGCGAGAACACGGCGAGGCTCGCCTCTTTGGCTTGTGAGCTATCGCGAGAAGAGGTTGAGGCGCCGGCCTGCAACCTGCCGGGGCGTCTCTGGTAGGCGACGCAGCCGCCGCCGGAGTGTCCGCCTCCACAGATACCTCTGGTGGGGTCTGGTTGAGGAGGGATCCGAGGCGACGTTGTCGTCGGCCTTTGCCTTGAAGGGGAAGCACAGGTAACGAAGGTGAATGGGTGGGATTGGGGAGCTCCGTGGGGGCGACGGGCGAGGCTGGGCTTGGCGGGGGCGACGGAGAAAGGGGTGGAGGACGATTCTGGGCGCGCGAGCCGGGCGGCTGTGGCAGCTTCTGGGCAGGCGGACGTGGCCAGGGGACCGCGGTGGATTTCTGGGCTCCGGCCGCCGGTACCCAGGTCGGAGAGGCGGAGGTGGGACCTGGGTATCGGGGCTGCCGTTCTAGGTTGGGCGCGCGGCGGCCTCTCCCCAGGGATGTAGGCGATCCCCTCATCCCTCCTTTCCAGGGCAGTCGTCCTGTACCCGCCCCTTCCCTGTCACCTGGGGCGGACGCCGCCACAGCCCGGGGAGGGCGCATCACAATCGGAGGGTGGGTAGCCTCCCATTCAGAGGACTAGGTGGTGGTAGAGGAATGAGATCACCTGTGGTAAAGCTTTTGTCTTCTTCAAACTTGCGCAGAAAAGGTTTTGATTTCTTCAGATGCAACTCCTCTGACACCTCATCTCTCGGAATGGGGTGGGGAGACCTGAGAACTCGCTTAATAATTTGTTAGTTGGGACCAATGTGACCAGCTCCAGGCCTAACAGATTTCCTAGTTCTTTTTTCTCCACAGTGTTTTAGGTCCATGATGCAAAGTCGCTCGTTTAGATATGCTAAAGATAAAGAGTTTTCATTTGTCACTTTGTGCCCTTAGCAAATGAAATTATTTTAAAGGAATGTTTAAGAGTTGTCATGAATTTAAAACTAACATCTTAACGAGACACCACAGTATATTGATTTGTTTGGGTAAGAGAGTTCCTCCCTACCTTCCTTACTTCCCATTTCCCCCACTCCTACACAAATGTGATCAAAACTTTTAAAGATAAATTTTGAATGAAAGAAACTGTAGAAATCGGAATAAACTTTAAAGAATGCAATCATAAAGGCCAAAAGTTTCTGGAGAACCCATCCAAGACTGAAGTCCGGCCTTAAAAACCAAGGACTATAGTAAATGAATGTAAATGCAGAAACTATTAGAAAATGCTTGAAAATATTTGATGGTGGTTTAAGACTGATAACCTGTGTGGAGAGTTGTTTTTGAAGGAGTCAGTGTGTTTCATAGATTTTCCTAACATTTTTCAGAGTTTGTGACCTGCTGTTTTGAATGAAGAGAAAGTAAGAAGAGAGGTTCTGAAGTAGGGAGTGTGGTAAGGAAACAGTAACAGGGTGTTCAAGAAAGTTTTTGGCTTCTATGCAGTGTTTTTTACTTCTTAACAATTTTTTCTCCAAGAGAGCTTTTGCATACGCTTTTTACCATCTCTGTGTTATCCTTCCACCAGTCTAAATCTTACTGTCTCATCCTTTTCTTCTAAGCCTTGTGAAAGTGTTAATTATTAACTATGAAATTATGGTCTGCTTTGTGGCTTTTTGCATTTAGGTGACTTACTACAGTATGGAAGTGATCTGGAAAATATGCACCTTTCAGACAGATAGGTTATGGGTAATAAACTCACATGCCTTCACGTATTAGGCAAATAATGAAAAGATGAAACACATTAGAGAGTTTATGTCATGTCTAAGAAAGACAGTCAATATTAGGCCCACCTGGTTAATTCTGTATACATGTATGGGTCCTGTCTTCATTCAGCCTTCTCAAGAGAATATAGGAAATCTGTGTTTTTATGTTCAGTCTCTTGATTTTTGAAAATAGTGATAACTAATTAAAGCAATAAAAAATAACTTCATGTGACTCAATCAAACCCATACCTATATGTATTGCATTCTGCCTTCTATTATAGTTCAGAATTAATACATTTTATAAATAGGGGGGAAAGAGGTTTAAAGCAAGTCATTTAGCTTAGAATTTCAAACCTTAGGAGGACTTGAAGGAAATATGAAGGCTAATTGAAATCATAGATAGTTTTAAAAGCTTTTAAACACAGTGGGACAAATTAAGCTGTACTTCCTGCAGAATTCTCTCTTTATTTACTGTTTTGCTTTCTGTAGCTTGTCACTTATAGTCAACTCTGAGAAATGTTAGGAAAATCTGTGAAAAACATTTAAATGGTGAATTCCAGAAATAAACAATTCAGAAGTTTTAAATTGTGTGATATATAAGTTTTAAATTATATGTGTACCATGAAGAATCATGCATTTTCCCACTCCCTCTGGAGATATGAATCATTCCTTTGTCCATTGTAACCACATTGTATATGCTACCCTTCCATTGGTCACTAAATAGCTCTCTTGACTGTCAGACTGTGGTAGTATCAGTGTTCGTAAATCCTTATTTTACTTAAAAATGGCCCCATAGTGCAAGAGTGGTGATGCTGACAATTCAGATATGCCAACAAGAAGCCATAAATTGCTTCCTTTAAGTTGAAAAAAATGAAAGTTCTTGACTTTATAAAAAAAGTCTGTGTTGAGGTTAAGATCTGCGATACATGGTATTTGAAAAGTACTATATTCACATGACTTTTATTACAATATATTATTGTAACCTATTTTATGTGAGTTGCTGTTAATCACTGTGCCTAACTTATAAATTAAACTATCATAGGTTTGAATGTATAAATACAAGGTTCACTCGTTACTATTGTACAGAAAACTGTAATATATAGAAGATTCATTCAATACTATCTGCAGTTTCAGGCATCCACTGGGAACTTGGAACATACACCTCGAGTATAAAAAAGGACTACATATTAACATTTTAAGTGTGGCCATAACTGAAGTAAAGCCTCTCTGCTTATGGCTTAAAAACTCAGATTTTTAACTATGTTGATTTATAGACATTTAGTCAGAAAATCAGTTTATTTAGAAGCTCTTCATTGTACTTTCAACTAGTGTGAAAAATTAAACCCAAAAGACACTCAATAACAGTCCACCTCAGGATCTGAATATTTTTATTAGCTGTGCCATCCCGCATTGTTTTCCTAGGCATTGACTTTTACTGGAAGAACTATTGATCTCCTGGTAGATACCAATGGGATGAGGAAAGTGTGATGTGAAGCAAGTAGTCATGTACCTTTTCCTTGTATAGTCCAATGAAAGATTGATTTAGAATACCGTAGCTAGATTTTCTTGTAGGAAGAATAGGTGCTTTGATTAAGCTTTGTGCCTTATAGGTAGTTGAACTTAATGGTGTTCATGGAATTGAAACTTGTGGATTAACCCATTAATGGATAATACTTTAATCACATAATCTTATTTATATCTATTTGGGCTGTGAGGAATGGGAGTTTTAAAGTTCAAACCTAAGAGATGGAACTTAGGCATACATAGGGCAAAATGAGGGTTGTCACTGTTGATAAAGGTGAAAGAGGAAGCTAGGTGAGGTTTAATTTTGAAAAGAACAATGACATGGCTCAGTGACTTGTGTGGCTTTATTTTCTTTCTTTCTTTTTTTCTTTCTTTCTTTCTCTTTCTTTCGACAAGACTGCTTTGGGAGTTTGCAGACTTGATTTTCTTCCTTTAGCCAAATCTTCTCAGGTCAAACTAGGCCAATCTCTTCATCCAGTCCATCTCTCTTTGGAATAGGAGGTAAAAGAGGAGGAGATATGTATTATGTTTGTGAGCTTTAAGAGTTTTAAAAATGTTTCTAAGAGATGTGTATTTGTGAAGATAGTACTTGTTGAGTGGGAAACCATCTTCTTTTCCTATTGTTTTTACCGTGATTTGTAAAGTAGGAAATTCTCTCTGGGTAGTAGTTTCTCCCTATTCATTCCACCCTCTGAAGTGCATTCCCAAATGAGGATTAGGAGAAATCAGGAAGGGTTAACTATACTTTTCCTTGTGCCTTCTGGTACAAGTTTTGGAACTCCCAGTTCTTACCAAAGGACATCTATTTTCTATTCATCTATATGGTAGGTTTATCTGAACAGGCTGGACCCCTATTAGGGAGAAGGAAATGGAATATCTACAGTTCTAACTGGGGTTAATTTCTTAATTAGAGATAGAAGAAGGTTAGACCTTTAGTTGCAGTTTTTTGTCTTCACATTATTCCTTTGTTTCTTTGTTAGTTTTGAACTAAAAGTCGGGGTGGGTAATTATAGATGTTTGCTAATGGAAGAATTACAGGGTGAGCATCCCTAATCTTCTTTAATTTTTTTTTTCAGCTTTAATTGAGTTTATTGGTACATTTTAGGGATACAGTACAGTTACATTCATTGTTGGGATCTTGTACCTCTACATGACAAGTCTTGGTTCTCATTTTTTCCCCTTGTCCCTGCCCTCCCTTCGCCCCCTCCTACCCTCCCCATCTACAAACACTTTATTTCCATCTTTTCATTATCTCACATTTTTTTCTTTTCCCTTATTACCCTTCCGCTACCCATCCCACCTTCCCTACACCTTTAGCTCCTTTCTT